GGGCGTCAGAGAACGGGCGGCCTGCTAACTGTTGGCAACTAAAGCTTTACGCACCACAAAGCTCCTGCTGTAGCTTTTTGATATCTGAACAAGGTCACGCTGTTCCAGTTGCATAAACGCTTAAGCAGTGCTTTGACAAGATACAAGCAGCGTATTTAAGTAATATTAAAGTGACATGTATTATTAAGACATAATTTAGATTACTGTTCCCTGAAACTTGGCAAAGACTAGGGACATAGAGATTAGCATTAAATTTTTAACTAGTTCAGCTGAAGGATCCAAATATCTTCCCAACAGAAACATGCCACAAAATCACAAGGATGGTTTTAATCCTAGCTATGCTTTTACTGGGATTGTATCATGTGACATTGACAGGATTTTGTAGGTGATTTCAGATATTTGCCTGTTCTTCTGCAAAACTCTGATCTCTGACAGTACGAGAAACCATCCAACAACTCTATGCCCTTACTAGGCAGTTTTGGATGTATTAAATCCTCGTACCGATGTCCGTTTATCCACTGGGTCTCCACAAGGTACCTACTGCGTTGCACCTAAGAGCTGAGCTTATATAAACAATGAAGAAAGAGGAGGTCTTCTTTTTGCACATAGGAGACCCAAGGTGATCTTTCTCCTGAGAGAAAGATCATGACTAATCATGATCTTTCATTCACGACTAAATTATTTCAACCAATTCAAGCTATTAACAAAAAAAAATTGTTTTGGAGATTAGCCTTGGACAGCGCTGCTAAGAGATCCAATCTACACTGGTTATCTAATAGCAGCTAATATGATGCAGCTGCTGTATAACATTACAGGAAGGCAGCATTCCTGGAAGGGTTAGAAAAGCTCCACCAGCTGCTAAAGGATATGGAGGAAGAATTTTCACACTTCATTTTTATTAGTCTGACTTACACTTGTGACCTGAATACCAGCTAACTGATTTAGCGTTTACCGGATACCATTCGAGGATCTGAAAGTATTTTATCCCAAGCCCCTCTGCTGCATCTCTGCGACTGCACTGCTACACATTTGTCAATAGATTTACGCTTCAGCATAGCTATTACAGATTGTTATCCTTCAGTCTATTTTAGAAATGGGAAAACTAAAGCAATTGTTCCTTGAAGCAAGATTTTTACACTTCCAATCACATTATGCATATGCTAATGCACAGAGGTAAATACTCAGGTAAATGACTTGCTTAAAGGCTGAAACAGAATTATGATAGAACCAATGTCTCAAAATGTTTGTTCCTGAGACAGAGCTGGATATTCGTTAATATACATTAAACTTAGTATATATGACAACAGTTGTACTGAAATAAAACACACTATCATGTGGCCAAGTTCCCATCTCCTTTGTGCTTCCAATGCAAAATACTTAACCCACGCCTACATCTGAAGCCAAGACTACGTCAACGGATGGCTCACTTTTAAGAGAGAGCATGTAACTGCAGCGAAGACGCTACAAAACTGCTGTAATGAAACGTGCTTGGAAGAAGTACTGATTTAAAATACCTCTGACAAACCACCTTAGCCCTGTCAGCTAAGGTTCTCAAGCGGGAGCTATAAATGGGTTATTCCCAAATGATTCCTGTGACAGAGGGAAGTGAATTCCTACCTGTCAATCGACACTAACAAACTGCAGTCCAGTCTCCTAGCTTCGTTCCGTAGGGTTAATGCTGCAAATACCAATATAATTCATGCAAGAGATTCCCTTCTTATTCTGGTCACTTCTTAAGATATTGATTGCTGTTCTGGCTCCCTGAAAAGGCTTGGCTCCCACCCTGCTATGTAAGCACAGTGTGAGGTTAGCAGATATTAAACAGCTAAATAAATTACCAGATCCTTATGTAATGATACAGCTTTTTATTAAAAAAAATATTTTTATAATAACTAAGAGTTACGAAAGAAATTAGAGAACAAGTAAAATAATAAAGTCATAATAATGAGAGTCAATTATGTATGATTTCATTTTACCCCCCCCCCCTTAATTTCAGTAAAACATCCTGTGCAAAATTAAATGCATGCAATGCAAGTCTTGAAATCTCAAAAGATTTCCTTTAGGGCTGGAGGAATTTCACCTTGCTTCCCTGATGCCAGAAGAGGGGGAAGACTCCCGGTACCTCTCTAAGCTTACCTTGTTCCACACAACATTTAGATTTGTTTGGCTGAGCAGAATACTTTTCAAAGCTAATGCAAATCATAAAATTTGTGCGAGTTCTAAGCAGGCTGTTAACAGTCATGCTCAACACACTGTCAAACTGAGTTCTAGCTGGTGACATCTATTATGAAACGTAACACGCATGTAATCTAAGCCTGAGCAGATGACGTTTCTCTTTGAATTTCATTTTAAACAGGTTAGGAAGTCTTTTCTGTTTTCTTTGGGAAAGGAACAAAGATATACAGTAAGTCTTTTGTGACTTTTTTACTGTACAACTGAAATTCTGTTTCCCAAACAAAAAAGTGATGTGTGGCAAAATAGCATAACAATAAAAGGACCTAACACCGTGAATGGTATTCAGTGTTCCTAAATCTTGGAAAAGTAAGTCTGGCAGGTTATGATTTTAGGAATTACCAAATCCCCTCAATATTCAGACACCTGAGCTTTTCAGTACAGTTAATTGCACTGATTAAATCAGCGTTTGGCAGAATTGGCCCTATTTATGTCATCGTTTGGCAGAAACTTGCTTTCAACACCTTGCTTTCAAAACAAATACTTTAGAACGCCGTGAAGCCATGTTTTCGGCTTTTTGTCAGTAGCCATCAAAAGATTCAACCTGTAACTTTGGATCATTCAATAATAGGTCTATTTTTGCAAGTTGGTATTTGAAAGATTTACCAGCTGCTTAGCAGTAAGTAGATAGCCCCAAACATAAATAGCGTTTACATTTAAAGCTGCCTAAACACTTTTAAAGAAAAATTATGGGAAGATACTGGAAATAAAGTTCCTACTAATTTTATATTCTGCTATTATTCCTCTATTATACTATATTAAGTGATAGAATCCCTTCCATGTTAGAAGCAAGATAAGTGTTCACATCTATATTTATCACTCATTTCTTCAGAAGTCCCTCAACTTCGAGGAAAGACTGGTTGGCAACTGAGGAAAGGTCAGTGACAGCTGACTATGTCAGCGACAACAGACAAGAGAAAAGAAAAAGCGACCCTAGGTTATCAACTTCTTGCACTCTTGGTAACAAATACACAGAAACACTGAATTCTGTAACACTTCAGGGAGCCAGAAATGAGAGACGAGATTAGTAGGGAGGTATTAGAAGCCATCCTGGGTGACTGACTCACTTCAAATTAGTCCACGGTTTCAGTCTAGTTCCACTAGAACTCTGTTCCATCATTATGTACTTTTTTGTTGACCATATAGCTGGTTGAATTATTTTATGACAGTGTAACCACCACTGCACCCCATTTTTTCCTTTTTCCTTGATGAGATGGAGGAGGCTTCGTGGAAAGCAGAGCAGCCAAAAGGCTCAAGCTAGATATCCACAGACTGCTTGGGGTATTTTCATGATCCACTGCAGCAGATATCCTCACTGCTTTATATCATATAAAAATATAAACTTCCTTATTGCCCCTTTTCACTTCTGGCACACCTCTTACTACCTGCCATTGTGAAAAAGTCTCCATTGACCAACAGATGTTTCCCACACAACACTTGTACAGAAGGGAATTATCGTCCATTTAGCTACAGATCTTATGCTCCCTGTATACTGGAATTATGCAACTCTATTAGAGCTTAGATATGTTTCATTTAAGTACTGTGCGTCTTTTAAAAAGTGATAGTAATGTAATTCAGAAGTATCACTGAAGATTACCTAACAACAACTGGTTATATATAGCGACCTCCTTTCATGGATCACATGATATTACCCAAGGCATCAGTCAAGGTTATGCACACATACCTGACTTAGTTCAGCACACTGGTGAAATTCCCTGCATGGAGAAAGGAAGAGGGCAGATTGAGTGCTGACAGGACCTCTGTGCGTGGCCTAACACAGACATACTTCTCTTCTTACCTTTACAATATAATTTTTGGTATTGAAATATAGTATGCTATTTTAAATGATTCTAAGTGTGAAGAGCAGTAAACACTATAATCATACGCTTAATATTATAATACGTTCTTGTAATTGCTGATATATATTTAAAACAATGAAATAAGGAACTGGAGCATATTTATAGTGGGACTACATAACAAAACATTTAAAAGAGGTTTGAGGAAGCCTACTACTAATACAACTGAAGTAATGGTCAGAGGGAAAACTGACTGTATTAACTGATCACAGAAAGGGTAATAACACCCAGTGGCCCAAAGCAATACAGGTGTGAAAAGGCAGCAGTGACTGCTATGAAAGAAGACTTAAAGAAAGAGGGAGAGAGAGAGAAATGAATGTTAACCTAATTACCTCAGGGAGGTACGTACCAGGGAAGAAGATAAGTAAAAACAACCAACCAACTCCCCCTGCTCCTCTCCCATACCGGTATTTGTAAAATGTATACAAAGTAGTTGTGAATAAGATAAACATTGGAGCGTTTCCAAACAGAGGTGCGCTTGAACAGCCTCCAAAATAAGTGACAGGGATAGGAAGGTTAGCTGCATCTCACAACAACTAGGATATTCTTTTGTATAATAAATAGTGGCAGAAGACAAGATGCAGTCATTTTTAAATTATTTTTATTTATTTATTTTTTAGACAGAACATATAAATGCTATGCAACTTGTAAAGATAGAGTTTTGATAAGTTTGCTTTATAGATTTGGAAAACATTTGAAGAAGATATGCATTTGATGTGAGGAAATAAACAGGGATGGGAAATCATTATTAGTTTCTGGCAATTGCATATTGAGAAAAAAATCAAACTTTAAAATTTTGCAAGATAAACAACTAGACATAGCATAGCCAATGTTGTCTCAAGAAATTTAATCAATCTGTAGGAAGGAATTTTCTTCAAAATAAAATGTGAAATAAGTTTACAGCATTTAAAATAAACTTATCTTCAATTGCTGCATTAATAAATCAACATGAATATAAATAATCTGATCTACTTAATCGAATATCAGGCTCACATTTAACATTTCCAGTTACAGGTTCGCTATTACAAGCGTATTAAGAGTTACTATGCTAGTGTCACTTTTTGTCCTGGTCTGAATATTGAACCAACTTGTCCTTTCCTTTTCTTGGGATTCTGAAAATGATCATACCTGGAAACACAAAAAGATATTAGCAGCTTATTATGAAACACCTTTGTTTGCAAAGGCCTCTTCAGACACACATTAATGCAACAGAGAACCGCATAGTCTCACTGAAAGGAAGACTGCAGGTCTTCTCACACCAGATGATCATTGAGGATAAAAACCTTAAGTTTTCATTCACTAATTTAATCCAGAGAGTTTTCTGCTCTGTTATTTTTGGGGGGAGGTGGGGAGGGAGTAGGATGGAGAGGACCTGGTGGTATAGACTCCTGGGAAGCATGTCTAATTCTCCTCCTTTCCAGTCCCTTCCTTCTTTCCCCTACTGTAAAACCTACTTATCAGCTGAGGAAATCAACTCTTTAACAGTCTTCCTGTCCGAAGAACAAGGTGGTGAGATCACAGGACATCCTGACGGCAGCTTCCAACTTTTTCACTCCAGTCATCATTCTGGAATCTAAGGAGGCACATGTTCTCCTTTTCAGTAACACATGTCCACGCTTTTGCAGATTACTTTTGTATTTTTGGGGAACGTGTACTGAGGACTCAAAAACAACGTGTCTTTTCTCAAATACAGTACTACAATGTCCACTGCTGAGAGTCCAAAAACAGCGATTTGAAACACCCAGGGACTACTACACTATCAGAGCAGGCAGGACCTGGCATTAAGACTTAAAGAATCAACTCAAAAAAATTACAATAATCTTGTGAAGCTAAATCTATTTAACTAACACAATAACGAGAAGGCCACATAGTCAGCACACTAGCCATTGCAGATTTCATAATCTGAAGTCACAGAAGCTGGGGAAGACAAGTGCAATTTCCCTCATCTTTAAGCCTTTCGGAGGGAA